CGATCGATTCGGCCTAAATCCGTATTGATGATCGTGAATTAGAGAGTAATCTTCTAGGTAGCGGGTCAGATGGTTGTTAAGGACCCTTTCTAAGACTTTACACAACACTGAGGTGACAGCTATCGGCCGATAGTTGGCCGGGTCTGAGCGGTCCCCTTTTTTGGGCACCGGTTGCACATTGGCGTCTCTCCAAGCTTCCGGCACACGCCCCAAAGAGTAAGAGAGTTGGTACAGTCGCGTAAGCACGGGAGACAACTCCGCTGCACAATGTTTTAGAACAACTGCTGGGATGCCATCGGGTCCACTAGCTTTCCGGACGTCGAGTGATTGCAATTCCGCACGAACATCACGCTGCCTGATTTTAATGTCAGGCATCGTAGTGCCACAATGAGGTAGTGTAGGTGGCAGTGCATTGCAATCACTGATTCGGGAGTTAGCCGCAAAGAGCTTTGCCAACAAATCGGCTTTCTCTTGCGGCTCATGAGCTAGTGACCCATCTGGACATCGCAGAGGTGGCAGCGAGGGCTGGCAAAAGTTGTGTTGCACGGCCTTAGCCAAACGCCAAAAACTACGGGAGCCCGTAGGGTGCGTTAACAATTCGTGGCCAGTACGTGCTACACGTTGGGCATCCGCTCTGATGTAAGCCTTCTTACAAGACTTGGAAGCACTATTATAGGCAGCTTTCAATGAGTTAACCCCGGGATCCTTAAGAGCGCGGCCTCTGATCCAAGCGCGATATGCCGCCTGCTTACGAGAAACAGCATCGGCACAATCGCGATTGAACCAGCGGTTACGTGTGCCCTTACTGATGAGATCAGAATGTGGAATGTAATACTCCATTCCCATTACGATCTCCTCAGTAATGGCAACGGCACTGGATGATAGGTCCTTTTCATTGAAGCAGCGCTGCTTCCAAGGGACAGACGCAAAGTAATCGCGCATACCATCCCAATCTGCCGACCCATAGTGCCAGACCCTGCGTTTGACCACCAATGGTCGAGGGGTTTTGGCCTGTGGCACCTTGACAGATATCAGGCAATGGTCTGATGAACCCAGTGGGGCTCGAACCACAATCTGATACTCCTGCGGATGGGTCGTAAGCAGAAGGTCTAGTAAAGAAGGCGCTTGACTTGCTATATCTGGGATCCTGGTGGGCTGATCAACCAGTTGTGTCAGGTTGTGCGTGAGAGCGAATGCATGGGCAGAGATCCCTGCATGGTCAGTTTTGGAAGAGCCAAGCCACAAACCGTGGTGGGCGTTAAAGTCTCCCAAAAACACCAGTTCTGCGTTGGGAAATTGCGCCTGGGCATCATCTGCTACCCTACTGAGGTGGTCAAACAGTCGAGTTGTCTCAGCGTCGCCGGTGTGAGATCTGTAGAGGCACACGTAGACTCTTGCCAAAGGACCAGAGTCTACATGTACCGCCAACATGGAAAAGGAGGGGTCTTCCAGGCAGCTCAAACGGCGACAACAAACATCCGCCCGAACATACAGGCATACGCCGGCTTTTGCTTTGAAGGATTCTTCAAGCGCGTAGCCGGGATATTTAAGGTAGCCTGTGTCAGCGGGCGGAAGTATTTGTGTCTCCGTGAGAAACAATAGTGCTGGCCGTGCTGTCTCAAGATGGTGGTGGACAGCATTGAGGTTAGAGTGGAGTCCGCGTATATTACAGAACTCAACCTCAAACAGCGCGGAAGGCGTGGGGGTGTGCACCGCTGTACAACCAAACTTTATTTTACGGGCTGCCATCATGAGAAAAAAGTTGAGAGACGTGAATCGAGTGGAGTTAGTCGCGACAAAGACAGGCAAATATATGGAGGCACGTTTTCCCGAGTAACTGCCTGCGAAAGAGATACGCCGACCCAACGGACGGAAGGGCCCCCGCACCCTCCCGGGAGTGGCCGCCGGGACCCCACGCCCCGGTCACCAACCGGCACGACGGTCCACCCCGAGATTATGCGTGACATGATAGGGCAGCCTCACGAACTGGTTAGGAACGCTCGGGCCCCTGTACTGTGCCACGGGCGGCCAGCGGGACAGCCGTTTCTACGGGTCTCCCTGGCCGGTGGGTCGATGCAGTCCTCCCGGCATCGGTTCGACGGATGCCTCCACTGGACCGAATCTGTCGCGGCAATCTCCACTCGAGCTCTGGTTGTACGCTGGCTGATCCCGAAACGCGCGTGAAGCACTTCACGGGTTTTTCACCATGCGTACGGTGGTAACAAACCAGGCGGGTGTTAGGCACCCTACCACCAGGAGAGCAGATGGAAGCTCTGATATCCCTCAGTCGCTTCTTACGACACCCGCGGGAAGTGAAGGGGCGGTGAGTGGTATTCTTTCTCCGTCACCGCACGGATAAGTTTAGGTTGCCATAACTGTAATGTTATTCAACAGTACAGTTAATTCTATTCTTAAGTAAATCCGAATGAATTCTCAAATTTTATTATTATACATTTATTTAGATGTCTTTTTTTACTTTTAGGTACTTACCTACCTACTCATATTAGTTAAGAAAATTAATCATAAGTTTTCAAATTTTACCGATGGTAAAGTAACGGTTTTTCGTAGTAAGTTTTCACCTTTTTGAAATCTGTGTTTTTAAGTTTCAATAAATTCCGACACGATGTAGTTTTTCCATATTTACGTTAGGTACAAAAACATTCTCATGACTGATATGACATTAGCAAGCTTGGACCAAGAACTTTTTTCAAACATTTTTTCTTTGTTTTCTAAATCTGCCAGAAAAAAAGTAGTATTTTTTATATTTTATCACCAATATGCAAACTTTAAACTGATTCCATATTATTATTAGTTAAGTATAGAACTGATATATAAAAAACTGATTACGTCTTGTAAACAAAAAAACTGTGATTAAACAGTATCCAATCAATACAAGAAACATTATTTCGTGCAGTTATGCTAATAGAAAAGATTTCTTCGAATCTCAGCACAATAGGTAGAGTCGTATTGAATAGCTTTCGCTAATAAAGCCACTGCCTGCACCACCCATGGCGTACGACTTTGTGTGCAATTTAGTTATGAGGTCTACAATAGTAACCTCCATAATCATCATTCAGTACAGCCGCGACCAAACCAGTCACAAAATAGAAAGTACAGAAGGTAATCTCATGTATGTACTTGGCGGTCCTGATAGGATTGTCAACATTGATTTAAGTACAAAAAACTATCGCGGTAGTGGCATTCGTATCTAGTTGTTTGATTTATTGTCGAGAATGAAAAAAAAATATCGGAAATATATTCCAATAATAACTAAAAAAGTCTAATCTAAACTAACTAATTCTTTATAATATTGTTATATTACAAATTAAAAAAAAAACGACAGTTCTCTGTTTTATATTGAATTTTATCAACCGTCTACTGAACAGATATATTAACTAGTCTTTTGTTGCTCAAATTTTGCACAAAAAGCTGAGCTAATGTTTGCGTTCTTCGAGCGCACTTTGCATGTAGATTACCTTCTGTACTGTATATTTTGTGAAACCAGTCGCACGCAAACGCAACTCGCTAGTCAGTGTGACCAGATTCAGTATTTTAATACTTTTTCAGTATATTTCATCGATTTTTCCGAACATAAGTGTATTTTCAGGTATATTGCTGGCAGTCAGTATTTTTGGGTATATTTTGGTAGAAGTTATGGCAACACCGTAGTGAGTGATCGTCTTTGCGACAATGTTTGCGGAGTTCCCCGAAACGCGAACATTGGGGACTTCCCCGGATTTAGTTTACCTATACTTATACATGTTATCTATGAGTAAGTTACAGATATGACAAGAAAGACGGCCGTTGTCGGCGTTGTAGTATTGTAATACTACATATACAATTATCAATCAATACACAGTATTAATCAGACTTGCAGAATGTATGTTCGCCTAAAACTTTACAACTGCTGGACCGATTTTAATGCGGTTTGCACTATTAGATAGAGCGTGAAGAAATGAAGGAGGTTGTGTAAATTTTAATCCTTCGAAAAGGATGTTAAAATATAACTCTAACATTTATTGTGAGTATGAATAAATAAAACGTTATAATTTTTATTATTTTTAAAGCATGTAACTGCTTGATGTTTAAATCTAAAGAAAATATAACTAGAAAAAAATTCCACGCGGACCAGGCAGCAGACGGGACTCGAACCCGCACCCTTCGCAATCCGGGCGAATGCACTGACCAATTATGCTACCGCGGCCCTCACGGACCGCGTCGAAATTCTTTCTAGCTATTCTTAAGCTGCAAAATATTTTCTTTAGATTTAAACATCAAGCAGTTACATGCTTTAAAAATAATAAAAATTATAACTATAATTGCTATTTCTTCTTTCAAATGTTTAATACTTGTAAAAGTATTCATTTGACATTGTGGGTTTACCTATAATGCGAAGTTGCAGCTTAAGAATAGCTAGAAAGAATTTCGACGCGGTCCGTGAGGGCCGCGGTAGCATAATTGGTCAGTGCATTCGCCCGGATTGCGAAGGGTGCGGGTTCGAGTCCCGTCTGCTGCCTGGTCCGCGTGGAATTTTTTTCTAGTTATATTTTCTTTAGATTTAAACATCAAGCAGTTACATGCTTTAAAAATAATAAAAATTATAACTATAATTGCTATTTCTTCTTTCAAATGTTTAATACTTGTAAAAGTATTCATTTGACATTGTGGGTTTACCTATAATGCGAAGAGATGGCGCTGCCTTGCAGCTTGAGAATAGCTAGAAAGAATTTCGACGCGGTCTGTGAGGGCCGCGGTAGCATAATTGGTCAGTGCATTCGCCCGGATTGCGAAGGGTGCGGGTTCGAGTCCCGTCTGCTGCCTGGTCCGCGTGGAATTTTTTTCTAGTTATATTTTCTTTAAATAAAACGTGTTAAGAAAATCAGTATTTTTATTGGTATATCTGCCTTATCGGTCGGTATATTTCAGTATTTTTTTGAGGTGCCTCGGTATTTTCGTAAAATTTTATCTGGTCACACTGTCGCTAGTACTAGACCCAGTCACGCGCCATTCACCGAGTAGGATGCGCGCGCGTCGTGACCTCGTTGCGCTTTCGGATTTCAAAGTTTCAAGTGACACAGTGCTGTGATAGTGTCGCGAAGTGTCCCCAACACTAGTCACAACACAAATCGACGAGTGTGTGAATGAAGTGATGTGATGTAAAGTGACATGTGAAAATCGTGCAATACTGGTGAACTGTGTTTGCATTTTCATGGTGAGGAAATGTTATTGTTATGGACTTTTATGAGTTCGTTGGCGTTAGTTAAGTTTTGATACAAACTTGTTTCTTTTTTCTCTATTTTAATTAAATTAATTTAACAATTAGGATCGTCATGCTTTTATAACAGCATTTAGCGGCTTAACAGAATTTACTGTCTTATCTAATTTTTGTAACATTCCTGATTTAATTTACAAATTACTAGAAACTTAACGGTTTTCAAAAATACATCATAATCCTTATGTTTTGTTTGATAATATTTAGGTAGTTAAACTATTATATGTAACTAGCATTTGTATGTATTAAAATAAAGTAACTCTTTACTAATTAAACTTAGATTTCGTATATGATCAGTGACCAAACGAGAATTTCGCCTACCACTAAAACCGTTTCACCTCAAATACTTATATCGCCGTTCTCAATGCATATTAATGCAAACCGCATAACAACTCCTTAACGAGCATGGAATGTAACAATGTGATTGCAACACTTCCTGGTAAAAGAAACAACATCAGCCACCGTGCCATACTGAAACTAAAACAGTTATGAAATGTCACGCGGATACAACCTCGTCTAACTGATTCAATATGGAAATGAAGATAATTAATTTCTCCGATTTCGAAATCTCTCTGATGCAATCAAATTATTTCAAGTCTTAGAATATAATGTTTTGGTTCATTCGAACTCACTCAGGCGGAAAAAACAATATAATCTATGGTGTATACGTAATCCATGGCCAGCAACCTGTAAACTAAACAAGGGCACACATGTTTTCAGACAGACATCGCGTTGGCTTCGTAATAGTCATAAACGATCATTGAAGTTATATTATAGGTATCTTTGTGATAATACAAACGCAACACGACCTTGCTTAATATTAACCTTTTGTACAATTGAGTTTAATTTAAAACGTAATAATATCAAATCTTAGCAATGTCCAGATATATGAAGTCGACTTATGAATACACTAAACTACGGAGAAACTTCGGCAGACAACCATTATTACAGGACGTGTCCGCACAAATGTTGGATTCAATAAATCCGGACAAGAACGAACAAAAGTTGTACACGTTGCGGAATCCAGTACATCGTCATATTCAAGCCACTTTACCTCAATCAGAAAACGATTCGAATACAAAACAAGTGGTGACTCGTGAGCTCGGCATAAATCACGAAGAAGGTGGTTGGCCGCGTGAAGTTCATGTCTTTAACGAGGAGCATGTAGCTCGACATCGACGCCGAGTAATGCACGAAGACAACTACGTTCACGCAGTACTGAATTTGACGCCTGTTATTACACACTATATTGATCAAAATAACGCAATCGATATGTACCAAACATATTTTTCCGGTATGAATGCCCAAGAGCCCATTGAAAAATACAAAGTTCGTATTGTTAACGTATTCAGGGACCCGTTTCAGCGACCTATTTCATGTATTGCTTGGACCAATGAGAAAAAATCAATGATAGCAGTTTCATACTGTAAACGAAATTACGATTACAGCGAAAGAGGCTCTCTATCATTGGAAAATAATGCATGTTACTTATGGGATGTTTCTGTGCAAAATGCTCCAGCTCATAAATTTTGCCCTAATAGTGCTTGTTGGCAACTAGCGTGCTCACCTAAAGATCCTGAAATTATTTTAGGAGGACTACAAAATGGGACAGTTTGCGTTTTTGACATACGAGCAAGCAAAAAAGCCATCGATTATAGTTCAATATACAAATCTCATCGCGAACCTGTGACAGCCCTGCTATATATTCACTCGAGAACGCAAACAGATTTTTTCAGTGGATCACCAGATGGACAGTGCTTATGGTGGGATCTTCGAAATCTTACCGAGCCCCTGTGTCAATTACCGATGTCTATTAGGATACCAGCAGGACAGCAACCAGATCTGACTAATGCTGAAGGAGTCAGTGCTTTAGAATTCGATCATGGTTTACCTACCAAATTTCTTTGTGGCACTGTTTCAGGGTTAGTTATCAACGTCAATCGTATGGGAAGAGAGCATTCGGAAATGTTGACCTCATACTGGAATGCACACTTGGGTCCTGTTCGTGCTGTACAGCGAAGTCCCTGTACAATGAGAATGTTTTTAACTTGCGGAGATTACACTGTACGCATATGGAGTGAAGAAATGCGTACACAACCAATAATAGTAACAACACCCTATAAACATCAAGTAACTGATGCATCATGGGCTCCGATCAGATACTCTTGCTATATGTCAGTATGTGCAGGTGGGTATTTTTATTACTGGGATTTATTAAGGAAATCACAAGAACCGGTAGCGATTCTTCAGGTGTCTAAGAAGGAAATAACAAAGCTAGCCCCTCATGCGAAAGGCCGATTTGTGGCTATAGGGGATGTCAGTGGTTCTGTAGTATTAATTCAACTGTCAGAAAACATGGTAATACCTGGGAGTCGTGACAAGCAACTCGTCTACCAGCTTTACGAGCGAGAGAGTAGACGGGAGCACATCGTAGACAGTCGTCAAAGGGAGATACACTTGAAACAGAAAACTGAAGAAGAAGCAGCAGCAAAAGAAGTATTCGAAGAGATCCCTGATGAGGACGAGCCTCTCCAGCAAACTGAAGATGAATACTTTCAAATAGTCACACGAGAAATGCAAAAAATGGAAATTATTCCATCAGATAGCATTGTTCCTTGAACATACTTTTAGAGAATTCTAATGTTGTTTGGTATAGTAACAAAGGACCATGATATTTCCATCGACGCTATGACCTAGGACAAAGTGAAAGGCAAAACATTATGATATACATATCTCAGATTACTGCATATAAAGACTATTCAGCACTCTGTAGGATCTAGATTACTTTTTAAACAGAGTGGATATGTTAACGAGCATTTTATTGGAAACATCATAGATTATGTCAATTTTTATTTTTAGCTCTTTGTATTAATAATCCCTAACAAATATAACGATGGTTTTCTTATCCTTTGTAGACAAAATTCAATAAGAAATAAACTTATGACAAACTTGAAAACCAACCCCCTCATATAAAGTGTGGTAATGTGGTACCTTGATGACGGAATTATCGCTGGCGATAGTTCTGGCTGGTATGTCATTATCGATAAATTCAAAGTATTATAGTCTTGAATAAAATGCGAGCTAAATATTCCAGGATTCAAATTTTCATCTGAACAGTTACAACATAATAACCCTCTAAAGTTGCTGTGCCCTTGCAGGGCGTCACTTGGTTCCAGTATTTTTATGTACCACCTTATTTCTGTGAATGTGATATGCAATGAATAAATAAATAAATGAACATATTGTCACAAAATTTTTGGCTTTAACTCCTAATATCAAAATTATTGAGAATAATAAAATAAATATAAAAGTAAATATAAATAAATCACTCCATCTCCTAGGTTCTCTGATTTTTGATGACTATTATCCTTTTTTTAATTAATAAACAAATTGCCAATTTTCATAAGTCCTCCGAAAAAAGTTCAAAATTAACCGTCACATGGCTTTATATTTATTTGCGCTTTCGCCCCAAAGTTGTTACGGCGCTGGTTGTGACACATTTTTTATTTTGTAAATTAGATATTATTCGTTAGTAGGTTAATGTAATTTGGATTCAAATTTTATACATGAAGTAGTTTTTAAGTTGTTGTAATTTAATTTTCTTTATATTGTAATGCTTTAAATACAATACTAGAATCCTGCTAAATTTTTAAAACACAAGTTTAGTAAATGGAAGATACAAAAGTAGGAAGTTATACAATTTACAACGTATTAAAATGGTGTCAATATAATTCTAGAGAGACCGACGACACACAAAATTGTATACCGCTGAATGTGGACCGTATCAAAGTATACCTATATTTACAACAGATTTATAATAGTTTCCCACAAAGTAAAACAGACTCATCCCGGATGTTTCGTGCGACGAGGAGCCCGCATGTTTCCCCAAGCAGATCCGGCTGAGGGCCACCGACCGACGATTTATCTCACAAAACACCGACGCAACGAGACCTCCCAATTTTTATAACGACTCCCTTTCTACGCTGTTATTTTAAAATCAACGAGCCGGGCGTAAGAGGTCTCATTAGAATGGCGACGTAAATTACTCGCACCCGTGAGTTGCGTGAATACAAAAGTGCGTCACCGGCAACTTTCACCGCGGCTCGATCCACAACAGTCGCACGCGCATTGACTGTGTACACGATAGATTCTTATACAGAAAGGTATTAAGTTACTAACATATTCTCTGTTTAGGTCATCGACCTTCTCTTGAATTTGGACATTTATTTGTTAACTATTAATTTTATAATGATATTTGGATGAAATATTATAATATGCCTAATTTTTCTAAATCATATCAATCAAATTAAATAGCTAACTCTTGATCACTTCTTTTTAAATGAGAACTAAGCAAAAGTTTTGGAACCTCATTTAATAAAGTGTAGTTTATCTCTTCAATGAGTTTTACGGCTAGACAGTTTTTACACTGTTTCTGTATATTACTATTAACAACATTGTAAAACCACATTGTACCCATGATTATACACGTATGTAGTAGGTTCGATGTTATTTTTGAAATTCAACAGAAATGTAAGACTTAGACTGACCCTGTTCTAAATGTGGCGTTAAGCTATGGTAGTGATATTTACACTTGGTGTATGCACTTACATCTGATACCACTTTGATGTTTTACCGTACCGTTAAGATATCGCCCATTGCATTACTGTAGGTACCTTACGTTTGATTTGCTAAATATTAACTCAATTTGATACGACTACTATTAGTCAATCAGTACTCAAAAGTTCACTGCAGAAATGTAGATTTTCTATATATTAAATTAATTTTGTTATGTATTTAATATAGGTCATGAATCTCGGAATATGCAATACTCGGTTAAGGTCTTAGGTCCGTATTACAGAATGACAACTAAGCGTGGATCTTTACTTGAGTACATTTCGAGATTTCGAGATTTTTTAACGATATGTGCAATTCCGATATTAAAATCGGAATTCTGATATTGAGATCTAATATGGGAATTCCGATTAAAAATAGTTTATAAAAAACTAAAACAACAAACAAAATATACTCTCTGATTACTTCGTTAGGGCTTTAGAGTTAGCCATGTTTATAGTTTACTTTAACAAACATATAACTGAAAAAGCGTGGGGCGCTATTCATTGCAATATTTATCAAATCAATTAATATATTACGTGATTCGTAATGCTTAACAATTTAGTTAAAATTTTATAATAAAGCGCCCCACGCTTTTTCAATTATGTATATAGTTATATGTAAAAATGAACTATAAACATGGCTAACTCTAAGGCCCTAATGAAGTAAACAGAGAGAGTATATTTTGCTTGTTTTTGGCTTTTTAGTGCAGTAAATAAAAGCGTGTTTTTAGTTTTTTTCAAACTATTAATCAATTTAGCTCTTTTTAGTTTCAGTCATCAGGAAAAGTGAATAGAATATTTTAAAATCTAATGAGCCCAAACTCGCTATGTTTACTAGTAGGCAGTCCAAGGTTCCATCAGCCACCTTCCAGTCCCATCATCAACCAGCTCGATGGTACCATAATATTGTATTGTCATCTAATCTACTTTCAAAAATTTCATGTAGATACAAGAATTAGAAGTGCGTGTAATTCAGATTCTTGGATTTTATTACATAGAAGTCGACCTAATAAAAGCGTGTTAAGAACCTCCGATCTTACATGACATAGTAATTATTTCAGCATTGATTTACTTACAAAATCAAAGTGATCTTCTTTAAGTAAATTAAAAATCTAACTACCTATTCACATAATAAATTTTTCTCTGATACAATAATTGTTTTAAATAGATCCAATTGTCTCAGTATTGCACGTATGTCACACATAAGAACACATATATCTACTATGTAAGAACAACAATCAAATGAGAACACATGCAATTTCATACTGTGGGAGTTCTACACGAATGCGAGTAGCACATTCCAATCCAACATTCCGAAAGTACACACAAACCTTGAATATCAATGTCTCAACTTTAATATTATTCATTCTCATATACAGCAGTCCGACTCTTCTTCACTTCGGCTACGTAAATTACGGCGATTGTTGCAAAAATAATGAAAAACAATTGGATAAGAAGTTTTTAGATAAATCTTACAATAGAATATTATATCATCTTAGAAAACCGCAATGAAATAACACTACCTTTGTGCTGGTGTTGTTGTGTTTCTGCCGGTGAGTAAGGTTTCTAGAAGTACATGGGGTTAGGTTTAGGAGACACTTGAGTGATACTCTTATATCGCAAGTGTCCGTTGCTATAGTGACTGCTTACCATTAAGGGGATCATATGCTTATATATTTATTATTTTAAGCATTAAACTGCTATGTTCTAAAATTCTACTACAAAAAAACCACACAATCAGGTTTCAGACGGGATAATGGACGGCGTAATTTTTTTCCAGTGAAATTTTATGTAGATTATAAATGCTAGTTTCCTTTAAAAACTAAAAACCTTTTTTGCAGTTTTTTAATATAACAATCCGATAACTTCAAGGTATTTTTGTAGGAGGGCAGAGACTAGGGACTGCCTCTCATCAATCCGAATCCGATACAACTCAGCCAAATTTTCTCGTTTTGTATTGAATATTCTCCCGCACTATACTCTGATGACGTTTTTGTAAGTTAACTACCTGAGAGACCTGCTTAGTTTACATAGAAACTTTGATGATGCGATACAATTACGTAGCAGACAAAAATTCATGCTAGGGCCTCTGATCAGTAATTTGTTCTGTTGTGTTTAATACCTGTCTCAATTCTTCCTCTTTTGACATCTTTGCATCTCATAATGTTCTTCTACTATGACTACTTCTTCCTTCCATCTTTTCTCTCACTCATCAATATTCTGCTCCAATGGCTAGCTGAAACTAGCATATTGCAAGGCATCCTAGCGAACCCCCTACCGGAGGAGGCTGGAGTGGTTTGCAATATGGTAGAAAAAAATATATGTAATGATTAAGTAATTTTAAGGAAATTGTATGGTCAGGTTACGATGGGGCTGGTATGGACAATTTGGTCCGCTAGTAGGGACTAGCGGATCAAACAATAAAAAAAAAGAAAAGAATGTTAACCAGTTTTGTTAACTATTAATAAAAAAAAAGTTAAGCTATAAAAATCAATAAACATAACACTATTCTTGCAATTTTAACACAAAACTAGAAAAAGAGTATTAAAAAACTAACCTAACCCAACCACTTCCAAATGGGGCGTCCTTGAAGCCATATATCTACATAAATTATTCAATGTATATTACCTGTCGCAGAGCGGTCGCACCTCAGTCAACTCCGTATAAAGTTATGTACTGTTACTTAATCCAAGCAGATTAAGTACGACACCACTGGAACGGGTGATCTTAAGGTATCGATGAGTAATATATTTATAGAGTTTAACTGACTTTGTAGCATAAATACTTACTTGATACACCTAATACGAGTATTTCTTTCCACAAATCGCCTTCTGGCGTTGTAATAATTATTTACCACAAGTTCTATAACGGTTTAAAGTTTATGTTACAGAAGAGGAAAATATCACATAATAATATTATCCTCGTCTGTGTCTGATCTAGGTAATAAAAATATATTTACCTAGCAAAACATCAATCATCCCTCGAAATAGTTAAAACCACAAACACAGAAAGAGGTATGTATTCTGTGATCACACATTGAAACTTTCAAAAGTTAAGTACAATACAATCTTTAGGCATACTTTACGACTCATAAACGCAAACGAATACTCTACTAAAGAACTTATATATTAGAATATATTATCGAACAAAATAATAGGGATCATGACTAACTATTTTTCAGGTACACGTATTTTTCCTTTATTCACATAACAAAAACATTACAGAGATATATTGATTTGAAATGTCGCATGACGTTACATCTTGATACAATTTTTACTTAGAAGTTACGTCACCGAGCCCCACTCTCAAACTTTGACGCAGTTTATCTTCGTAATAATTGTTGGTTGATTGAAAAAAGGACAAATATGTGTCCATTATTTTTTAATAATCTAACTGACGGACTAAACAGAATTTTGTTTTACTCACCCCGTCATCATCCCCATTTACAAATAAAATAAAACCACAATAGTAAAAGTGCTCATAATAAGTCTGTGAATAATCGTTCATTGTGCACCTTGAAACAATAACATTTATTACCTTTATTCGAACGATGCGAAACCGTGGCAAATTCCGAACGTTCCTCAAACCACACAATTCAAGGTTATAGTTATAGTAGTCATAATACAAAAAGAACTCATCTTGAGTGATGACTGCGACATTTACCAATTAAGTACTCTGCCTTTTGGGAGACTCGTATCTCTTTACCGTAGCGTACATCGCTAACCGATTGACAGAGCAAATGATTTCTGCTGCAATTGATTGGATTGCCTGTCCGTCGGGGTAAGAGCCATAAAAATAACCAAAATAAAATAACATATTTATATTATGGTAAAATTTTGTTTTTAGATTTTATAGTGTCCAGGGCTCCACGGGTTAAGGAAATATCAATGTGACCAGTAATAGCCACTTTGGACGTCATGTTTATTTGCCACTATTGTGGTTTTAGTTAAGTTACAATAACACCTAAGCTACCATCATTATTTTGCATAAGTTAGGTATAACTTACCAAATTCAGCAAAATTTTAAAAAATTGCATTTTGCTTTGATTAGTTTCTAAGCGGGAAAAACAAAGTTGATGCACATATTGCATCATCAGTGCAATAAGCTGTAAAACCACAGATAACTTAATACATATTTACTATACGTAAAAACGTGCGAGCGAGCGCGCATTAATTTTAATAAAGAATCAACAGTTGAGTAAAATTAACAGTAGCACTTATCAAACTTAAACTATGAAACACTATTAGTAACAAATCTATAGGAATGTAATTATTTTTTAACTCGCATCAGCTTTTTTTCTTATTCCAGCGATACCCGCATAGCAATTTGGAATTTCCAAAATTACTCTTGAACACCACTGATTTAGATTTTTCGTGGAGAAAATGCATTATAATTACAACAATCGAATCATATTGTACATAATCTTTTCGCAACAACGTTATGTGTTAGCGTAACTAATGAAAAAAAAACGCAATCAAATCGGAGTTACGTTAGAGCGTTGCATGAGTAGCGGCTAAGAGTCTCTATATAACCAAAGAGAAGCGGGCGTGAGTGTGGGTTCGAACGATGCGTCAGTAGCTGCTTATCGAATGCCAATGTCAACTAATTTGCAAACTCGTTGCCGTCGTACTGTTATACCGTCTCGTTGGACCGACCCAATTCGCATATTGATAATTGTGGCGCGAAAACTTTAACGTGTTCATTGATTTGTGGGTCAGTTACTCGGTCAACCGATAACGAGCTTGTTACTTCGATGTCTCACGAGCTGTCTTATTCGCAAGCTTCTTCAGACGCAATGCTTTCGTTGAATAAGTAGGTCAAAAGCATATGTGATTTTTATAAACGAAAGACACTACTATTATCTTTTTTCCCGAAATTGTAGGTTACTAAAACCATTTTTTGTATAGTGTATTTTTAATCGAAACTTTCACTCACGACTGACTATGGGATGATCGTATCAGATAATATTTGTAATAACGAATTATAGATACACATATGAAATATAGAAATTTAAGATTTACGATTTGAAATGCCTATCATAATCTATTCGGTAATCAAAGCACTTAACTGTCAGTCTAGAAAGTTATGGTAAAAACATTTTCTGAGAGAGTATTAGAACGCCCGTCTGGGGAAGTAACCTCCTCTAATACCACAGGCAATAACTGTACCTTTTGTGGTTCTGTCGCGGTGAGTAAGGTTCCAGGACACCATCGGGTTAGAGGTAGGATATTAAGCCACGCGCAAATAATAATAAGTATCGCAACTCGCAAGCGCCTATAATGCTGGCAAGATCTGGAACGAACCTCCTGTAGCGGTTTGCCCAATTAGCTATTTTTATTTTGTGTGTATGTGTGTGTGTATGTTTGTGTGTATATATGTATGCATGTGTATGAAAGCTATGATATGACGGTCTTCAAAAGGTAAGGAAACCTTTCCTTCAGAGCTGGCAACGCATCTATTGACCCTTGGTGCTGCAAGTGTCCATGGGCGGCAGTGACCACTTGACTCTAGTCTAGGACTTGGAAGTATAATTTATTTAAGCAAGCGGGTAGGTACAAATAGTTCTAATTTCCAAGAGGAACTCACATGAAGACGGGCTTGAGCTTTAAACAAAATCTTTCCGAGAAGCGTAGACGAGTCAATAAACAAATATTTAAAAAAAATACAAATGTAAAACATTTTGCGCCTATTCGATAAGTAATCCGTATCTGCTCAAGGTATCAGAGTATTCATTATATGTACGGTGTTACTGCGATATTTACAAGATTCTTTTGAATTCTTTTGATTCTATTTGCATGCTTACAATAGAAAGGATTCCACTGTACTACACTGCATTTCTACATACAACACATGGCCTCACGCCATATATTTTGCGAGGTGAAATGAACATTGAATGTGCAATGGCATGATATACTACAATGTACGGTTAAATTATAGTCCGTAGTGACAAAGTGAGTTAAAAAACAAATAGTTTTTTTAATTAGAAATATTTCAATAAGTTTTATTAATGTATTATTATTTTGTTTGCGCACAGTAATGTCAAGATGGGCAGCACGATGCGATGAGAAGCACGGCGCTGGTGGCGCTCATCCTGTTGGTGTCAGCGTATGCGGCGCGCGCGCAGCTCCGGCCTGCAGACGCGCCGCCTGCTGTTAACGACACGAGTGAGTAACTAAATTATATTACACAATCTTTAAGCATGCGATATTTAGACTTATTTATTTATTTTTATCTAGGGCATTCAAAACATTTAAGTGATAGAAGTAGATGGGAAAATTAAGAATTTAATTAAGGGTTCCACTGGTGTAAAATTTAAAAAAACACGTCATTTCTGACCATCTGATATATTTTAATGTTATATTTATTCTTACGAAGGGTTACTAGATGAAAAAATCAAAAGTCCGGAGAAAAGGCTTGATTTCCATTGAAAATCCTGAGATTTTTACAGTTTGAAAATTTTCTCTCAAACGTACTTAACAATTTAGAAAAGCCGTAATATTATCTTTTATGTACATGCTGCTTATACTTTTAATTCGATATAATTTGAAGAACTTCACATGTGGGGCATTTTATAAATCCATAAATTAAAGAAAAAACCTTACTTAAAAATGTATCATCTAATATTAAGTATGATAAAACTGATCAAGTATCTACTGGGATAAATAAGTACTGATTTTAACTGTGCAATTATTATCAAAGGAAGATTATTTTTAGTTTGTTTAAGTTTTTATTAAACAGATCTTTAAAACGTTAGCTGTATTTTATTGAATATTCAAAAAATCCTGAGATTTCTTGAGATTTGCAAAATGCAGGAGCAATCCTAAGAAGAGTCCAAAAATCCTGAAATCTCAGGACAAATCCTGAGATATGGTTACCCTATACTTACTACTTAACTTTTATTTGAATTGTCACTGGAACGAAAGAACTTTTTAAAATTACCCAAACGTGTTTTGTATTTCACCTGAGTAAATATTATATGCCACGTCATTTTAAAATAACGCTTGAAATATAAATACTTATTATATTTGTTATAAGTAAAATAAATATACCTACCTTTACCACGCCTTTTGTATTACACCACATTTGGCATTAGTTGCGTAAAATTTTCGATAGATTATTCTCAGTTTAGGCTAAGGCCGCGTTGTTTCATCGGTAGTAAAATTTTGCTTCAAATTTTTTGCATAAAAAAGTCATCAAATCATAATATAACCAGGACAAGACGGACAGTAATAATTGGAGGTCAATTAACTTATCTACTTCTCTGGTAACCTGTATCCTGTTTATTGTAATATTAATTATTGTCAATTTGTCTTGCATACAGCAAAGGGTGTCTGGCAGAGATAAGACTGACTCTGAATTCGATCAAAATAATTATAATTAGTTTTGTTTGTTTTTCTGTTCATGTAAGCAGTAATGTCTGTTACTGATCTGTCTGCCTGTACAGAAATAACCTGAATTACGTTAAGTACCCTTGGTTTTATTTAAATTATTGCAACTGTATATGCAGGTACCCAACATTTTAAAAAAGGTCAATCACTTTTTTATGAAAAGAAAAAGAATAAGATACCCCTAGCTCTCCAGCCAGTAATAATATTGGTCCCTCCGCAGCGATTTTATTACCCTCCTGCATATATATAAAAATAAAAATAAAATAGACATGCTACGAAAAGTAACGTAATTCTTATGTTATTTTGCTCTCTGGTTCTTTTACGCGTATTATAAATCACATAATATATTTTATTCGTATTTTACTATTATTTTTATATTTATTAGTAGTCCAGTCGGAATAGCCATAATTTGGACCGACTTCTATTCTAAGACACCAGCGCTTAGCCAATTTTTTCCTAGGTAGTATAGACCCCCACGAATATGCCCTCCATTTGTCCCCGCTAGAACCCGTGTTTTGTAGCCAGGAAAATTGTTTAATCAAAGAAAAACCGTTTTTTTTTTTAGTTTTTTTGCTTGTAAACGGGGATTTTGAAATTTTTTTTGAATCAAAGTTGTTCATTAGCTTGCCCTCTACAAAATCAGTTCTATGAAAAAATAACGTGAGATTGTTAGTTTAGCAGTAAATTGCAATTATGTCGGTTTTACGTTTGCAACAATTCAACATGTTATAATAAACATTTTGATTTCTAAAGTAGTTTATCATGTGGGTAACGCCACTCCCAAGAGAGTCATGTAAAATTTATCGACCTGTGTCGCAAACTTTAGCAACAATTCTCAATCTCCGAAAAAAAAGTACTTGCCTGTCCCGTCTTTCCCAGAAGGCGCACAGCGGGAAAAAAAATTCAGGTGATTCGATTCACCAAGAATTTTGAGGAATCAATCGAGTAGAAAAATCGTTAGTAAAAATGTTCGTTTTTGGACGATTTAATTTTTTTTTAAAAATTGACGTAGAATAATTTTTTTTTTAAACTAATGTATTTTTCTCTCCTCAACTCGAATATACTATTCTGAATATATATATATAATATATATATATATATAATATATATATATATATATAATATATATATAATACTAATATACCCTGAGAATTCCGATTATGAACCGGAAGAAAAAAGGACGAAATTAATTTAATTAGAAATATAGAATACAACGCAGTCTTGTAATCGAATGTTAGTTAATAGTTTTGTAAATAATTTCTGTACATAAATAAACTGAATTTTTTAAATTTTCAATCGTATATTCGAGTTGAGGAGAGAAAAATACATTAGTTTAAAAAAAAAATATTCTACGTCAATTTTTAAAAAAAATTTAAATCGTCCAAAAACGAACATTTTTACTAACGATTTTTTTCTACTCGATCGATTCCTCAAAATTCTTGGTGAATCGAATCACCTGAATTTTTTTCCCCGCTGTGCGCCTTCTGGGAAAGACGGGACAGGCAAGTACTTTTTTTTCGGAGATTGAGAATTGTTGCTAAAGTTTGCGACACAGGTCGATAAATTTTACATGACTCTCTTGGGAGTGGCGTTACCCACATGATAAACTACTTTAGAAATCAAAATGTTTATTATAACATGTTGAATTGTTGCAAACGTAAAACCGACATAATTGCAATTTACTGCTAAACTAACAATCTCACGTTATTTTTTCATAGAACTGATTTTGTAGAGGGCAAGCTAATGAACAACTTTGATTCAAAAAAAATTTCAAAATCCCCGTTTACAAGCAAAAAAACTCAAAAAAAACCGGTTTTTCTTTGTTTAAACAATTTTCCTGGCTACAAAACACGGGTTCTAGCGGGGACAAATGGAGGGCATATTCGTGGGGGTCTATACTATCTAGGAAAAAATTGGCTAAGCGCTGGTGTCTTAGAATAGGTCTCATGTTTATTCCGACTGGACTATAGTATTTACGGTATTTTATTCTTATTAAGGTATCAATACATAATATTATTGAGTATTTATGTATATGTATAATAGCTATTTAAGCAACTGTTGTGAAAACACGAATGTGTGTTTATCACACGAGTCAAAGCCGAGTGTGATAATAGTATCACACACACAATATTCAAGATGTTTTTGTTTCCTACCCGATGCCTTATACTTATTCTAAGAAGTTTTATCGGTACGTAAATTACTCATCTTGTATACACCAACATTGCAAACTACCTTTTGATCCTTATAAAAGTAAGCCTCGTCGCAACAAATTGATTTTCAAGAGTAAACAATACAATAAATCTTTAAGCAAACGATTTCTACTTTTTCTAGGTCCCTTTATTTATAATAAATAATGTAAACCGGATGTTGAATATATATTTACTAAATTACTGTAAACTTAAACGCATCTTTACTCAATTACGTCTTCCCTGACTTATGAAGAAACTGAGAAGATGTTACTGCATATGAGATGATTCCTCACTACTCTTGCATGATTTGTTTTAAGATATATATCTAAAGTTTGGTTATCTTGCTAAAAAAAACTTTTCTTTTTTAAGGTTGCTTAAATTTTAGTTTTTTATTTAAAATCATATTTTTCAACAATGTAGTATTTTGTTAATTTATAATATTGTGCCACTAGAAGAGAGTGGTTACTTAAGTCTCAGGGTTTTCCTAGTTTAAGTACCCACAGATCCTTAGTTTTAAAGCATCTTGTGCCTTTTATTTGTGAAACCATATCGTAAAAAAAAACTGGGAATAAAAATTATTATTGTTGTATAATGAAATCAACTTATGTCATTATTGTCACATAAAAATGTCGCAACGACTAAATGAATAAATATTACTGACCCAACGTTATTTTCTTTTCAAATTATTTATGTAACTCTTTCATAGAAGTTATTATTTATTTATAACTTCTTAATAGAAGTTATTATTTATTTATAACTTCTTAATAGAAGTTATTATTTATTTATAACTTCTTAATAAAGTTAATACTTTATCAATTCAAAATATTTATGGCATTCCGCTGCGGTGACATCGTTTATTTTAAGCAGTCCTTTTCGATGATAAAAAGCTTACAGCCTATACCAATCAGAAACGATGTTGTGTTCTTCATACCACACGCGTCTTCTGGATCTTCAGTGTTGATTTCAAGACCTATGTTAGCTAGCTGCTTATGCTCCTATTTCATCTAGTTTGGCATGAATATCAGTGCGTGTGTGATTATGCAGGCAGGGCATTGGTGTAGTCCAAGTTTGGACAAAACGTTGGGCCCTTTACTTCAATGCGAAGCATGATACCGTCCAATACGACCCAGAAAAGGAAAGGCGAGCTGCTCGTTGTGTAAGAGCGGCATAATAGCCTCCGATAGACTATCTAAGATAATCTTCCATAATACCTAATAAGGGGTCAAAAGCAATGTGATACCCTTCCAGGTGCCACAGTTGCTGAAGTTGCTTTTGTTAAGTCTATGACACGGGGTGAGTTTACAAGCTACAAGTCAGAGAGTACGCTAGCAGCTTTTAAACTCATCAGCTTTTTACAAGCATTTATTTACAATCTGCTACACTATGACACAAAGCGAGTTCAGCCTGTAAACTCGCCCCATGTCATCGAGGCTTTAGGCAATGCGACTAGAAGCCCCTTACTCCAGTGCTCGAATAGCTCTTCAGTACCCTGGATCCTTTTAACTATCGAAGTGAGACCCAACAGCGGTCTTAATTACTTTTCAAACATTAATTATGTAAATGGTTAGTTTTGGAAACTTTTGGTAC